CACGTAGTATAATTGGTTTGTCCGGCAAACCGGGTACCGGTATCCCATGATCATTGTCACCCCCCAATACTTCTTTTCTACCCCAGACTCTCCCCCGATCGTTATCATTCCCTCCCTTATTCCCAACATTTTTAGAAGTCTCTACAAGTTGCTTATCAATGTTATTCAGACCCTCAACTATTGCTTTATGAGCCTTTTCATATGCCTTTTTTACATGTCTCTTTTTTGAATCGCGATCCAAGCGCTCCCTCTGGTGGAGCAAGTCCGTCATGGCTCCCTTCTGATCCTGGGGTTCTTTCCGCAACTTGCTTTAAGGATCTCGCTGTGAATTATCCTCATCGCTGCTGTAAAGATCACTGTCCTCGGGAGGGAGAGGAGGCAGGTCGAGGAAGTCGGGGGGGAGGCGGAAGGTTGAGCGAAATGTCCTGATCCGTCTCCGTCGCTTCCACAGGAGGTGCCGTGGGCTCGGTGGCACGTAATGTAATCGGTTCGTCCAGCAAACCGTTTTCTTTACTCGCCACACCCACAGGGCCCTTTTTCTCCTCCTCCGGAATCCAAGGTGGCAATTCATCATCCAACCCCCATGCAATTTTTTCCAAGAGCGGCATGACTGGACAAGCGACAGGAGGATCATTCGGGGGATCATCAATCAGGGGACAGACCCCTTCCAGGCTGGCAGCATGACTGCCACACTTTTTTTCATTATTATCAGAAGCCCGTACTACTGCCTTAACGGCTGCAGCAACTTGAGCCTCCCCATGTAGCTGTTCAATCATAAGCCGTACAGTTTTATAAGTCTTAGCTAACTTTTTTGCTACTTTTGATTCCACTTGGACATCCTCCCAGAGCTCCTGTCCTATCTTCCGCCACGAAGTAATATCATAAGCGTCCTGAGTTGTAACCAAGAGTCCTCTTTGCCGACTCCAAAACAATAATTCAACTAATTCAGTCTTTGATATCTGTGTTTCAGTTTTTTCCGCTAACTTCATTAAACTATTAATAATTGCTTGTTCTACTGCTGACACAGCATTTCCCATCCTGCTAAGGTTCCTGACTCACCGCTCAGCCGTGCACACTCCGCCTTTCTTCGGGCGCCCGACTGATTTCTCCGCTGGCAGCAGGATCCTGCTCGCTCCGCAGTGTGGTATCCCAACCACGCCTTCCCTGTCACCTCGGGGTCACCAGGTGCTGCGCGCCGTCCTAGCGAGCGGGAAAGAACGACGCACTAGTATGATGCAAGTTCAAATCCCACTTTATTCAACAGGCTGCGTTCTTATATATTCTTTTTGTTCTCCTGTACACGCCATCACGCTCCGAGCACGCAAGATAGAGCAAGCTTGATTGGGCAGCACGCGTTGTCCACGCGCCCTTAGTCCTTAAGTGATTGGTTAGCCTAAGAAGATGCTATATGCCTATGATTCCTGTTATCAGCATTTTCCCATCCGCATTTTCTTACTTTTCTGCTAACTTAAATTGCAACTGTATCCTTTAGTTTAGCTCATGGCCTTGGTTCACAAAACCTGGTATTCATTCAGTATCGCTAAGGCCCCAGCAGTATATAAATACAGATCAAATTTTCTTTGAAGCTGCTGGCATCTTTCTTCAGACAGGAAACTTCCCAGGACAGAACTTAATTCAGCACCTCAGCTTAAGTATTGAACATGCTGAACAGATGAATTTTGTGCTGTTGATGGTGGGGCACCTACTGGTGAGAGATCAGTCTTTTCTATGAGAGCACATGTTGAGGATGCCAGCCCTGAGACTAGTGCTTGGCAGTGCACGAAGGCATCCTTTGCAACCACCCAGGAGAAGATGGCTCAACAACCACACCATGGGTGAAGCAGCCTGGGCTGAACAGTCAGCACAGCCACATTTACTGGGGGCTCCCAGCAAGTACCAGGACACTGCCAGGAAGCTTTGACTGCTTAGACTATTCTTCCTTCTCCCATTGCAGGGAACTGTGTCTGACCGTATGCACCCTAAATACTTGCACATCTATATTGAGGTCACATCTACTCACCACGGCCTGGGCATGTGCAGTGCACAGCCCTGTGGTCTACCTGCTTACTCCTTAGCTCTTTGCTTTCCTATCCTGTTTTCAGTCACATGTCCACCGCCCCCCTCCCACAGTTCAGAGCCTCCTGTGGTGCATGTCTCCTTTTCCCCTTTTCTTTCTAAGAAAGTGACAGCAAGGAAGATTATGTGCTCCTGCTTCAAGTATTGGATCACCTACTGTCATGGGGTAGCAGTTAAAAACCAAGGAGGCAGAACCTGTGGGCTCCTGGAGGGGGAAAGCAGCAGCGACCCAGCTTGAAAAAGGAGCAGTTACACAGTGGGTTCCCCAGCAGAGCTTGTGGAGGTGAGCTGGGTGGCTGGTGCCTCTGCTGCTCTTCCAGCCCCAGCCCCACAGACAGCTGTGAGCCCTGCCTCAGGCATCATCAGCATCCAAAAGCAGCCCCTTTTCAGCAGCATTCGCATGCAAAATACACAAACACATACAAAATTATTACTGCGGCACTGGTTTGGCTAAAAAAAACCCACAACTGTGTGGTGCAAGTGTGAAATGGCTATGAACATGTCCTTCTGCCACCAGATGGCAATCCAACATAATTACTTCTGATAAATAATTCCACTTGAAGTCAGGTGCATTTGATTCAAAGCAGCAATACAGCTGTCACCCACCCTGAAGGGTGCATGGCAGAGAGCTGGTGCTCCTTGCCACCCAGCTTCTGTCCCCTCGCCACAGGGATTGTAGCTGCCTCTTCCCCTGGCAGAGCTATGCAGTCTGCAATTAGAAGGGCTGGCTCAGGGCAGCCACCTCCCTGTCACCTCTCCTCCTCCTTTCCTGGCAGGGTGGAGAGTATTATCACCTACTGTGGAGCCCACAAGGGCAAGGACTGGCGGAGAAGAGCTGTCTGCATTAGGAAAACCAGAGCACAGAACAGAGACCTTTCTGCCTCTCCTGTTTGGCTGAATTCCTAGGAAGATGTTACAGTCCTAGTTTGGGGCACCTCATTACAAGGAAGACATTGCAGTTCTAGACCATGTCTAGAGAAGGGCAACGAAGCTGGTGAAGGGTCTGGAGCACAAGGCTTATGAGGGACAGCTGAGGGAGCTGGAGCTGTTTAGGCTAGAGAAAAGGAGTGGAGCCACTCTCTACAATTAACTTAAAGGAGGCTGTAGAGAGGTGGGGGTTGGTCTCTCCTTCCAAGTAACAGGCAATAGGGCAAGACGAAATGGCCTCAAGTTGCACCACAGGAGGTTTAGGACGGATATTAGGAAACATTTCTTCACAGAAAAGGTTATCAAAAATTGGAACAGGCTGTCCAGGGAAGTGGTTCAGTCACCATCCCTGGAAGTTAGCCTTCTGAGCAAGTTGGATGAGCTGCCCCTTCAGATTTCATCTTGCTCATGAGCAGTCTGCTGAATGCACTGCATGCTGTTTGGCAGGGAAGCAGACACTGGCAACCCCACCTCCTCAGGGCACAACTTGCGGAGCGCTGCTGCTGCTGTCCTGGTGCTCGACAAAACCATGCATGAGGAAGCAAGTACTGAAGCCTACCACTGGGTAATACCTCACTAAACATGAAGCCCACAAACACCCACACAAAGATTAACCTCTTAATTCTTGCATCTGCCAGCACCATTACACACCAGAGAACTTCACATTTTGTGTCTTCCCAGACCTCCGATTTGGAGTGGAAGTCACCCCAGGAAAACAGCCAGTGCTGTATAGATTACAGGTGATGAAGAATTCCTTACAGCTTGTACTTATAAGGGATCCTTGCAATTCAAGTCTTCACCTACCTATACACTGCATTTTCCCTTTGTTGGTGCTTTTTGGTCAGTTCTGCCATAGAGGGTAAAAATCTGCCAGAACTCCTCCTCTCACCCTCACAACAGAGGTGGTGCTAAGGCAGAGCGAGTTGTATCCTCTTCAGCCCTCCAGCATCTGGATCAGGTCCATGCTGAAGATTTTGAAGGCTTTTGCTCAGATTGGTACAGGCTGCTCTGCCCACCACGGTACACACCGTGTTCCGCACAGTGTTCCTGCTGCTTATGTTTTTGATCCCCCATTTATCTTGCTCTTTTGTTTGCTCTGCTTGATACCAAATCTCAGACCATGCCATTTCTTTGTAACACATTCTGCTTACCTGGTACAATTACTTACTGAAACCTGCCAGCTTGACACTGCAGGATTTCCACCTGCTGTGGACTGTACTCCCAACTCAGTCTTCCTATATACTTGTCAGAGTAGCCAGAGGCTTTGTAAATGGGAAAGAAAAACGCAACTGATTAGCACTGTCCTTCCTTGCTGCAGCAGTAAGGACTAGAAGTAGGTATCAATACATTTTTCAGCAGCTTTGCATGGTAAGAGTAAATAAAGAGCAAAAGTAGCAGCATGTTACTTTTGATACAGGGCGAATGACTGTTTGGTGAGTAAATGCTAGAAGACCTATCTTGAGTTCTTATAAAGGCATCAGACTAATAAAGTAGTAAACAGAATATGAAAAATATTTCTAGTGCCAACGGCCTTTCCCTAGCAGAACTTTGCTTGCTTTTCAGCTTGCTAATGCTTCTATTTTCTGCCACATGCTTATCCCACCCATCCTTCTTTGGTCATGCCAGTCCATTCTCCCATATCCTCCATTTTCCACCCTTCCCCTTGGGAATGCCCTGCAGTAATCCTATGCTTTTATTATTTTAAATAAACTTTCTCAATGTCACCAAGTGGCTTGCTTTCAAGTATAAAAGACCCTGTTTCCCCATTCTTACTTGAGAGCATGGAGTCAAAACATGCTCCTGGACACCTTGTTATAACTGTCCCAGCAGCAACTCCCCCTTCTCCAGTATTCCCTCATAGACTCCCCAGGTCTCCAGTACTTCACCACTGAATGTCCCACTCCCCCACCCTCCCAACAGGCTGCTCACTCCTCCCTCCTGCCTCAGTCTTGTCCACTTTTTCCTCATCTCCTTGCTAAAGAAACAAACATGCAAAATCATTTTGGTTGTTTTAATTGATCACTGGTTAAGTCAAGTCATAATACATTTCAAAGCAAAATATTCTGTTCAAGGATATTGTGCCAAACAATAAATCTACTTTTAAACAAGGCTTAATTTGACTGTATTACCTTTATATACATACAGGTATAATTTCCATTTCATTAGTAGCAAAATTACTCAGTACATTGACTTTCCTAAATGATGGCAAAAAGTAGGACTTTAACATCTGTTATGTCCTTCCACACACCCCAGACCAGAAAAATCACAGGTATAGAAAGTACAATCACGACTACAGGTAAATGTAATAAGGACATCACAGCAATCTAAGTCCTTATCAGAGATGACAATCACTTCCAGAAGTCTACATTGCAAAAATACAGTACATTCCACTAAAGAGTTTTGGGAGTTCTCACAATGCCTCTTAATCCTCTTTTGGTAATAAAAAAAAAACTTCCATGACAACACGTATCCTTCATAAAAATTAGTGATTTTGTATTTTTGGAGCATATGTTGGAAGCTTAACGCAGTCTAAACTGCAGTCAACAAGAAGCTCACCCAAACGGAGAGCAAGCAAGCACTGCAAGATTCATCAATATGAGAACCACAGCCCAACTGAGTCACCCTTCGCTCCCGCCACCGGGCAGCCAGTAGCTGGAGCTGCTCTGCACCAGGGTCAGACCCAGGGGGAAGGAAACAATACATTCCTTCTCCAGCTTTCACAGGCCAGTCACCTGCAAGTTCTTGTCAAGAAAATGTCAACCGACTCAAAAAGCACAGGCAACTGTACAGGACTAATTTGAACTTATTTACAAAGCATTTGTTACACTGCAATTGTTAGGCAATTAAGAACACAGCTAAGGAGGACTAAAGTTTCCACATTTATGCTACCCTGAAGTATTCCTGTGATCAGCAGAGAATGCAGTAGCCAGTGACTGTGCAAACCTACTGCTGCTGGCAAAACTGCAGTCTGCCTTGGGGGGTGCAAGGGCGCACATAACCCAGCAGTCCCAAAAGCAGTCGATACCTCAGTTATGCTCATCTCTGCTTTGGTTTGTGCAAAATATTAATCCTGTGCATGCAGCTTTGAGACCTAGCCCACATTCAGGAAGGACCGGTTACTCTGCGCATGGCGAGACACCACTGGAGGAACTTTCTAGAATTAGCAAGAAAAGGGAGGTAAACAAGGCATTTTTCATGAGCACTAGTTACACTCACAGGTGCAATGCCAAGGACTTTGCCACTGTTTCAAGGAAACCTACTTCATCAGCACTGCATTCTGTACTTGCTGAAGGAAGTCACCATTGACTAACAAAGTACCTGAACTTTACCCCAGTGACAATGCAGAGGAACTTTTCCTCCCAGCCTCTATGTCTAGGACTCACTACCCGCTTACAATATTGAGCATAACCCAATGATTTAATATGAATGAAAGTGCTTAACTGCTCATTTTCTTTCTCTTCCCTGCTGTTAAGTTCAAGGAAATCTGACAGCACTAGGAAACACCAAACAGGCATGCCTAAAGTTAGAGACACCAACTGATTTTCTCCAGTATGGTGAAAACAGATCCTGCTTCTCCATTTGGCAGGTTCTAGCCTCACGCACTCTTAACATTCTTCACACATCGCTATTTTAAAAGTTAAATAGCCTGACTCTTCAGATCTAACAGCAGTGTAACATAAGCAACTAGTGGAAACGTGTCCTATCATTTCGTAAGACCTGCTTTATAGTAACTTCTACAAAAAAAAGCCACATGCTTTGTACTGCCACTTGTCTGGAGCCAGTCAGTAGCACTTCTAATAGGGCTGGAAAAGCAAGATACAAACCATTTTTCTTCTCCTAGTCTAGACCTGCTTTTAGCAGAGGAGGAGTAGTACGAATAGGTCAACAAAGACAGAATTTGAAAGCAACATTTGAGATGTAGGTTTGAGCCTGGATGTTTTTCTATACTCTTCCCTGAATCTATGTTCCAATGTTTTTCTTTGCTTTTGCAATAATCATGTCAAGCTACTCACTTTTAAGAGCTAGATCCTGGTAGGCTGCAAAGAAGGTGTGGTATTAGTTGTCATTAACAGACAAAGGAACTACAAACATGGGGCAAAAGGGCACCTTGATTTGCTGCAAGAGTCAAGGAGACACTTCACAATACAACTACACGTGTCACATGTGAAGTCTGGTAGACATAACATCAACCTACTGGCAACACTGACCTCAACCACAAGCTTTAGAGTCAGAAGAAGCAGATATTAAGTCTAGCTTTCAGCATGATTTCACTTCAACATTCCAAAATCTAACTATGCAATGAATAATAAGCATGAATGAAAAAAACATATTTTAAGCTCAGAGAGAATTCACAATATCTAATCAAGTCAGTTTAATCAGTGTAGCCTATTCTAAAAGATTTTCAATGTGTACATTAAGAATACAGATACAGTGGAATGTGCGTCTAGCAGTTTGGGTGCTGTCTATCCCATACAGCAGATAAACTGTTAACAAAATACAGAGCGTGAGAATGGTTGAAAAACAGGATTGGTACCCCCCCTCCCCCCCATTTTTTTTGTTACTGTTTTAAGATTAGTTCAAACAGAACTTCTGGACTTTTCCTTCCAAATGACCCTCTCCTTTAAAAGCAACACTAAGACTCAACTGATATTTATATAAAATTTACCTTAACCTCCCTCTTCTCAGATTCCTGTAACTAAAAAATTTAATATATAAGCCTTACACTATGAAACACCTTTAGTGGTCCTGTTGCTTTATCTTTTAAAGAACACAAAAATTCATTTTACTGTGGTCATATTCATCACTTGAATATTGGAAGTTTGCTTACAGGGCCATAGTGCACATTCTTGTACACAGCACAGCTAAATGACAGTTACACATACAAACCCAGAACACAACCAAAATAGTTTATTCAACAGGATTTGAGAGTTTACCAAACTGAGTTTCTCCCAGATTCTTAGCACCAAAATTGAACTACACAGAAAAGAGCAGGATACAGGAATCAGCCAGCTCTCCCACTGAGGACCAGAGCCGATTAAACCATAAAATAAGTCAAGGGGCCCTGTCCTAATTGAAATTGCACTATCAAATCAGCTTTGGAAAAATCCACAGCCAAATGTTATGATTTTCCATAATTTTAAAAAGGGGCAATCAATTTTAAGAGATCTTCTGTTCCAGATAAAACTATTGCACTCGTTTCCCTCACTATTAAAAGCACACCTAATGTTCTTCTCCACCACTAAAGAAAATTTTGCAAACAAGAGTAGAAAAATAAAAACAGAGAAATATAGACATAACCCAGAAAATGCTACCATACAAAGAGGAAGATATTTTGCTCCCAATTTTAGTTTTATTTTATAGATGTATTTCAAGAAAAGAACAATTAAAAATGTGTCCCTCAAAACTGAGTATTACTATGTGCTGAAAGAAATTAGAGTACGTGCTGAAAGGAATATCGTTTTTTAAAGTGGCCCTTCCTTACTAAAAGCAGCTCCCTCAGAAATGCTTTATCTCTCAGCTGTATATAGGAGTGCAGCCAATCACAGTCATTTTGTACCTGTGTGTGCCTTTTTAAGCCTATTATTAGATATCATTTGCCCTAGAACTGTAAAAAGCCATTTAGGTCTCCAACAAACCTATCCTACCAGCAGAAGCTGTTTATTCTATGATTTCAATGGATACCAAGAGACAAAGATTAGCTCTTAGACTAAATCAGACAGCAAGTTACCTGTTTTTATGAAAAAATCTACTGAGATTTGAGACTGCTTCAAAGCAGTAACTGAAATACAACTGCAGCTATGAATAATATATAACCATAACTTTCCTGATCCGTAACTGATCCTGGCTTCCATCTTAAAAAAAAAACAACAAACAAACAAGAATCACAGTAGCTGAATATATATCTGAATATACACACAAACCCTTTTATCAGAGGTTAGTAAGTAACTGTGTTCGATCTGGGCTTAGAGACTATAAATTGCAACCTGTGTTCACAAGTCTCTAACCCATCATTTCTCAGGCTGCCATGGCAGTGGAAAATCTCATCCAACACAGTGTTCAGGAGCTGTTTAGCTGAACAGTTGCCTCTGATAATGGTACAGCTCCCCTCAGCTAAGCATGCAAAATGTATAAAATGGCAAGATGATCAAAATATCCCCTTAAAACGCCCAACAGTACTGTTTCAAGATACTGCTGACAAAGCTTTAATACCACAACACTATTTTTCAACATTTTCAAACGATATGAAAATTGTACTTTGTTATTACACAGGGTGTAACAGTCATTGGTCATTTGCATTCATTCACCCCAGCACTAGTGAAAAACTGCCTTCTGAATAGGCATGAGGAAACATGTAAAGTTTCCTTATCAAGTTGTGTCTCTACTCATCTTGCACTAGCTAGTACATGGAAGGCAGGTGAGCAGAAATGCAGCAGTCTGCCGATACACCCCACGTTTTCACATACACTGATGTCATGCATATCAAAAAATACAGAAGTTCAGACATGCAGCAAAATATGTTCAAGCACTTTAAATGCTCTCCAGGTGATAATGAGTAATGTAGTATTTACTCAGACAAATCAAAAATGTTTTGTGCTTACACTTCAAGTTTCAGAATACCATTATTTCTACCAGATTAAGTCAAATGGAAGGAATGTTCCACTGAAATCAGAAGCAAAAGACATGACTTAAAGAACTAGGAAAATAACCACTGGTCAGAGCACTGCCTTCCAAAGGTTCATAATAAATAACAAAACAGCAGGAACATGCAGACCTTAAAGTCAGGTTTTTTTCTAAACTCATGATACTTAAAAATTAAAAATCAAGAACAACCCTGGCTGACTTTCCCACATTTTGGGTCTTTTTGGCTAAACAACTGTTAATTTATTTTAAGGAACACAGGCATTGTCAGAAAGCATTATTTACAGAATGATTATCAGATTGATGACATAAAATACAGATGAAAATGTACATCTTCAGGTTTCAGATAAACCAAGCAAATTCACTGCTGATAACTGAAGCACTTTGAATAAGGGAACAGGCACCAGAACAAAACTGAATCACAAAACTACTGAAAGTAACAGACAAATTGGGGAAGACAGAGGTAAAGCAAAGATCAATGAAACTGGAATGATTTATAATTAATACTAGTATACCAGAAATCATGGAGCTTCATTAAAATTGTCTTTTACCATATAAAACTGAAAGGAAATCTTTACTCCCAGATTGTGATGATTTCAAGTACTGAGCAGCTGTTTTCTTAATGCATCTATATAATGCTTTGTACTCTACATCTTACAAAATACATCCCCACATTTAAGTGCATGATTGAAACTGTGCTGAATTCATGGAAAAATGCTTCATAAATGATAGGTGCAATAAAGTCAGAACAATGCTCAGCTCCAGTTTTTAGTAGTAGTTCTGTAAAAGGTCAAGTTCTAGAAAAGGGACTTTGATCCCTGGTTTTCAAACTCTGACCATGCATCATTCAATTCCATGAAGATCATTTTGGCATACTGCTCGTAAGGTTGTCCTGTGGCCTGAAAACAAACAGAACGTATTAGAAACATAAAAATATTGGGAATTATATGACTTAGCAAATATAAGAGGGGTGGGATCTTTCCTATGTTATTCAACAACTTCAGACTGCTGTGCAAATGCAATTTTGCAGACACACAGCCCTCTCCAATCTTATCCAAAGTGTGTCATGAGTATTTTAAACAAAGCCAAAGCCTTGGTTTTCTTACATTACGTCAGACTTTTAGTGCAATTCATAAATAACTGAAACACAGCTAAAATCAGATTTCCAAGTTGTATTTTCCTAAGTAGTTTTAGCTAATGATCAAATCCAGTCATTTTTGGAATTGCTTCCTGACAGACCTTGCAGTAGTGTACAAGAATAAAATTCAAGCACTATTTAAGACAACTCCTTTTGGATGGGATTTCTTGGAGAAAAATCTGTTGCTGATTGGGGTTGACATTCAGATTCCACATTAACGACATAGCACTTCCTGTGTATTTGCCTCCATACTCAAAGACAGTACGCTCCTGGTTTCCTGCCTATTGCCAACCCAACCCCCACGGTAAGTAGAAATCTAGTCCCACAAGTCATTTTGACGGTTCTTTCCAATACAATAGGTCAGCCCCAGAGCCCTCTCCAGTATCCTTCCACTTCTCCTGCTACTTGACTTTTGCCAGTTGAAGTACTTTATAGACCCTTTTAGGGACTGCCTTAACTCAAAGTGGCAAAAAAAACCCAAGGAAGAAGAAAATCCCTCAAAGAGACTTGTGTTCTGACACGGATGTGTTAAAGGGGCTTAATGAAAGCACCAAAAAACTTCCACAGGGGTAGAGGAAGCCAGATGGCCAAGAACAGCAAAGGACAGGGGAAAGAAAAAGAAACAAACAATGTCTTGTTCCTCCATTATGGACACAAGATGACATAGGACTTAAGACTGCTGCTCACCAAACCACCAGTAAAGGCAAGCCTGAAAATTCAACCAGGTATATTCATCACTTACTTTTGTATCTACAACACAGCCTAGAGCAATGCCTCAGAAAAAGAAGCTACCTTTATACATTGGAAGACTAACAAACAGTAATAGAATGCATTAAGTAGTTTTAAAAGACAACTGGAATGTCATATCCATCAAGTATTTTTCAAATTTACTCTAATGAAATTAACTTTTTCTAGTTCCTAGGAAAGTTGTTTAGTAAAGGAGGTTCAGCATTTTTTTTCCTACCAGTTTCACTGTGGCAGCCTCCAAGTCTTCATAAATTGGTGAATAGTCCTAAAAGACCTGAACTATCAGCTAGTAGAAATAAAGCAGATTCCACTAATCACTATTCAGCATTATTCAGATTCACTAATCAGCATTAAACCTGCCAGCAGCCAGGACACAGCATAACTGACTGGTGCTCCGTACAACTTCCATGGGATCTTTAATTTGTTAACATTTATCTGTTGAATTCTGTGCCGTGTCAGGATGACAAGAAAAATCCAGTACTGCCTGAATGCAGTAGGACACCAAATTCAGAAGACAATGGGAGCAAAGTGAAGAGCACCAAGGGTGCTGATCAAGAAGCAAGGCTGCAGCATCTGTCAGGAACTAGTATTGTGTGGTAAAAGCAGTCTTCGTTCCTTCTAAAGGAAAGGAGGTCAGATGAACACACTCACCTTATCTGGATGAACTACAAGCACTGCTTTCCTGTAGTACTTCTTTACTTGGTCTGGAGTTACTAGATCTGCAATGCTGACCGGTTTCCACTTATTTTCCCCTTCCCAAAGTACGGTATGAAGAGTGGATATTAATGCTCTGATATTTCTCTCCTTTCCTTCAATCCATTCAAGGATCTGGGAAAAACAGAATGTACAGAACTGAATGCATCACTGTAAGCATTCTCAGTCTATCTAGAGACACAACCTTCACTCTGTTCCAAAGACCCAAGTACAGTTGTTTTGCTGCATCCACTCAGTAAGTCCAACTGCCTCAGTACATTCTTCTTTGTGGCACCCAAGTCACTAGCTACCCAGAAGTGGTATTTCGTGTCTGCCACTAGGGAGTAGCTCATTGTTATTACTTCACTGCAGAAATGCAGTCACTGCAGGAGAAATTACTAAGGTGTTACAAAACCCTATAAAATTAACTATGTAATGGCAAGAGAACTGACAGGACTCATTAAAAACATCTGTTACAATTACATTATCTTCCTGTAAGGGCATAACATTAATTTACTAAAATTCTTACTTGGTTTCTACAAAAGTTTCAGATCATGTATATGAGTAGTTAATGTTTACTTCACCTTGTGTTCTATCCACACACTTTTTGAGCTATTACCACTGCTGCTTCATTGCCAACTGACTCTTGTTCATGCTAATAAACAATCTTCTACAATCATATGATCTACAATCATCTTCTACAATCATATGATTTAAATACAGATAAAATTTCATTCTGCTTTATCAGTTTGCTGTATTAGTCATTGTATCCTTCTACGCTGTTATCAGCGGTTTTAAGCTTAAGTACAGATTTTCACTTAAATCAGAATCGCTGTTAAACAAACCTTGAGTTTCAAGGGGTCCATATCTTTAGACATTTCTTGTTTTCTCATCTCAGCAATGGTCTTTGGTCCCTTTTTATCAGATTTAGCTGAAAACCCTTGATTAGATAAAAGATCCTCAAAGTCATTTTCTGAAACTTTTGGCTTTTGACCTATGAGAGAAGAAAATCATTAAATGAAAAGTTACATAGCAGAACACATTAATGGGGGAAATATATTGCACTTGGATACACCTACAGGACATTGCTCACTACCATGATAAACATGCTACAGTGACTTGATAAACTCTGCAAGACTAACAGGATAGGAATAAAAGAGATCACTGACAAGCTTTCAGTCCAGCATGCTAGAACCTCATGTGCATATGTGTGACTAAATACTTCCATGTCCTTTTTTTCAAAAACGGAGTAGATATGAGGGAATACATATCTACTTATTAATGATTTTAGAAAGGGTTCCATTTTTCCACTATAAAGTAATTCTAACTGCTGTGTAGTAGTTTTTCAAGGTACTCAATACTCTAGTCAGAAGTATGTAGTCAACATTTAAGTGTGTTGAAACTTATACAGAATAATGAAGGGATAAAGTATCAACATGAAAAGTCATTATAGAACCAAATAATTTTAGAGAACTGTAGAATAACTGAATTCGAACCCCGACTAGATAAATTTCTTAGGTCCTTGTCCAGTTGAGGTACAGCTGTTTTCAAGGGTAAGGAATCACAACATCTCTTGCCCCATTTCAGCATTTCTTCATGCTAATTGTTATTTTTTCCTCCTGTTGTCCACTCAGACCTTCCTGTGCAGCAACTTGTACCCACTGTCTCTCCATCCTGTCACCTCTTTCCAGATACAGATCAACAGAATTATTTCAACTAACAGAAGTACCAGTTGTTCACTTATATGACAGTTTAAGGGAGGCACAATCCTACTACCAACACACCAGGAAAATAAAATTTTCCAAGCAGGTTAACATAGAAGAGGCTATGCCCATCCTTATACCTCTAGGTTTGCCTATTCGGTTGGAACATCTTAAGGGACTGGTTCCAAGAATGATTCCACCTACTCTTATCCTTATCCTTGTCTGAAACACAAGAATTTCTAGTAACTTTAGTCTTTTTTAAGACTAGATACTATTCTTCAGCTAGGAAATTTATTTCATACTTTTACCTGTGTATCATAAGTAGACAAGCATGATGCAATGTTATCAACCACCTCTCCCTGGATATATCAAATTTACCTTTCTAACCCAGTGATACAAAACCAGTGAACATAGCCTTGAGACCTTAGGCTCAAACATGCAAATAACTGGGCCATGTTAACCTTGTCTCTGTGATATTCTAGTGTAGCTTTGCAAAAGCAGAACAGCAGATTTGGCAAGCTCTTTTCTGATTTTAACTAGATACAACCTAAACGTAAATAAAAAGATGAAGGTGCAAGAGTTCCTGCTGCTAACAGCTCCTCTGACTAACTTCACACAGGCCGTTAGAAGTAATGCCTTCAGAAAACTTACCAAAGCTCGGGATTCTGACTCCTCTTTCTTCTCGCCCTCCAATAACACTGAAGTTTCCTGTGTAATTGGGTTTAGCTGCTGTGCTGGATTTAGTCTGGGACTGCCATGAAGTACTTTGTGGTTTTGTGGATTTCTGCCACTGATTTCCCAGCTTCTGCGATGGAGCAGTCTTCTGACCAAAGCCACTACTTGAGAGTCCACCACTGGAAGAACCTAATAATAATCACTAAATTAGTTGTTCAGCTTGGTATCTACCACCTGTTCAGTACGACAGTTCGGTTTTGAGATCTAACCACACAGTTCACAGTGACAGTGATACCACTATGCAAGAGAAAGACACACAAAGAAGTGTGTCTAAAATGAATTTAAGTCTCATTAACAAGTAACTTTGATACAGGAGCTATAGCCATTAATGAAAGTCTTCCAGCCTTGTTTCTTTTCTGTTTATATAACATTCTCATTAACCAGCTTTGACTCTCCTAACTCTTCTTCCAGAATAATGACTTGCATGTGAAGGCCAAAACACTCCCATGAAAAACACAACACGGAGTCTAAACTCCAGTTCTTACAACTCAGTTTCAAGCCTGAGAAGGCTCATTAGCACAGTGACATCTGGCTACTTGTTAATGCAATAATTTTTCCTATTGAAAGTTAACTGAAAGATGAATTGATCTAAATTCTGCTAAAATCAATATAATTTCTTCTACCGGTTCAGTGTGTTCTACACCTCTATTTCCAAATGGAAGACAAATTTATTTTATTTACTGCCACACTATCTATAAACAAGTCCATATTAACCTGGAATTATTAAACTAGAAAATTTTGGTAAATGGTTTACTGCAGAGCAGCCTTATTGCTACTGCTTCAACACTAGAATTTTCAAGTAATTATGCACAGACAACATAAAGAAGCCAAACATTGTATATGTTACCTTGTGTTTAGATAAGAATTCCACCAAGAGGATACTCAATTAAATACACAATGCTAACTGCCAAGGCAACAGGATAAAACCTCTGTTACCCCCAAGCTAAGGCAAAAGCACATTTCTGTAATTCAGCAACTCAGCAACTGTAGGCTGTTTCAAATCGTCCCTTGGTGATGGTCCTGAAATGCAAGGACCTCAGCTTTTTTTATTGCCCTTAGTTTTTCTGCTGTTTGAGAATGCTGCAGGGCTAGTTCCCAAGTTTGCCATGAATATAAAATCCTGGGAGAAATGTTGCTCTGTGATGTGTCTCATCTTCCATACCATCTTGTGCACTCCACTGCAAACTGACAAATGTTCATAATGCTCATGGTATTGGTGTACAAGCATGGGCCTGATTTGTGCTCATCTTACAAACGTGAGAGATTTAAGTAGAAGAGCTAGGAGGGCCTACTGAATTAAAAATAAAGCACTGAACTAAAAGGAAAACAACTGTCCCTTTGGATCTAACAAAGAATTTAAGCCAACTTTCATTTCATATCCTTCACCGCACAGCATCAATAAACACTAGATAAGAAACCTCATGCTCAGTTACTGAATCAGCAATCCCTGCTTTCTTTTACCTTCTCATCTGGATTCTGAAGCATTTCTAAATCACAGCTGTGGTTATCTTCTGAAATATTATTCTGGATGTTTCACAAAAGATTCAGTTTTTTCTTGTTACTTGTCTGCTCTCAGCAACCCAGAGCTGAGTTGACTGCCTCAAGCTGGTTGTTAACAATTAAAAGGGAACACTTTCCTTTATTTAAGCTATCAGTTACATTTATTGGTACAACAAACGAATTAAACTGTAGAGGCATTAAATATAGTGTCTTAAAAGATCTTACCTGGAAGACCAGATCCAAGATTGGCAAGATCAGCGAAAGGATCAAAGTTCTGAGATTTAGCCTGGCTAGAAGACAAACCTGAAGACACACTGGACTGGCCCCCTGTGGTAAAAGCTTGACCTGTATAATAAGAAAACATATCATGTACTTGATGTATTTTGAAATTGAGGAAATGAATAAAAGTACTATTTCCACAACACCTTGTGTAAACCTCTCCAGCATTCTGCTCTATGACGTCTTTTACCATCACAAGAATTACCATTACTATAGACAACTGAAACTATTTGGTTCCTCTGCCTTGAACTTACTCTGAAAAACTGCAGAAGTGCCTTACCAAAGGGGCATTTAAGAACAAGAGCACAGAGTCCTTTAAGGAACAAAGCAAACAAGCATGTTCAGCATTTTCAGGTGATTAAACTGATCAAGTCTGGAGTATTCCTTATTTCCTCTAATGGAAGAATTTTATTTCATAATACCTTCAAAAAGAGGCTTCAGCTGTGGTGACGCTACATTGCTGGTTGCTGAGGAATCTGCCCAAGAATCCCACCCACTTAAGAGATCTGGGTGGCTTGTAGAAGCTGATATTTTAGGTGGCTCCGGTGTCAAATTCCCTACAGAACAAAAAAAAGAAATCTTTTGATTATTCTTTTAAGAAAACCATCACAATAATGGATATTTTGCCAATACCTATAGAACTGTGTAGGACATTGTTGGCTACATTGCCATCCTTACAAAAACAGTGACATTTTGATGCTTTGTATGTTTTGATGATACTATATCCCTGCTTTTCACTTTTCTCAGTTTCTCAACTTTATCCTCTGAATACTGATACCAAAACATAAAAGCTATTTTACTTTGAGGAAATCATTTGAAGCAAATTAAACATGCCTTCCACCACCTCAAACCACTAATTCTATTTATACTTAAATCTTACAGCTGCAAAGAGAGCACATCAAATACAACACAACAAATGTCTGCTAAGTGCCTGTATTACAACAGTCATTTTTGCTGCATGTGAAGGTGAACATCAGAATAAAATGCACGAAGTAGCTGCCAAAGTCTTCTGAAGGTACAGTATACAATTTTTAGCCCTTTCACCAGACTTAAGCCCCTCATCTCCCTGCCTCTGAAACCATAGGAGAAGCAGTATGTAGTTGCCTCAGTACTCAGGAACCCAGCTATCTGCTACACAGCCGTGTCACTGGCTATAAATGTCAAGGCATCCAAAAGTATCTATTCAGTAGTTTAGAAATTTGCTGTACCATACACTACTCCCAAACATTAAGTAGACCTTCAATTGATGTTAGTATTGATTTTTAAGCTAGAAATATTATCTCTGCTAATACAATATTTTTTTCTACAGGGGCATAAGGAAATTTACAACCACTTACAGAATTAACTATGATAAAACCTAGCTGTGAGAAAAAGGGATAAAGTAAATTACAGCTGAATGCATTTGAAAGGTTGAGAACACACTATGGGAACCAAGTGTTTTGTAACGGCTGGTTTAAGAGCAATCAAGTTCACCACCTCTCCCACCCTGCACAAAGCAGGGAGTAGCCTATTGCTACTACAGCAGTAAATTCAGTATGAACAGTACAAGCCCACATTCATCCACAACACTATCAGGGAAAAGCTGCAATAATGGAGTACAATATACTGAACAGTAAGATGTACCTCCTGGAAGCTTTTATTCTTATGCTATATTCTTTCTTGTTGTATAACTTGGGAATTACGATAGATTTTAACATAAAGAAATAGTGTTACTGACATGATACTCTGATTTTTACACTCTGAAGATGTATGACAAAACCACATGCTGAATCCCTTATATTTCTAACCTGGCACACTGGAGTTCATACAAAAACATTAAGGTAAAGGAGCAGAATATCTAAAGAAAGGGTGAAATATGAAGTTTAGCTAAATATTCCCAAAGTTGAAGCAACTGAGATCACGGGCAAGCAGATCCATACCTGCTTGTCCCTTAAGTTCTTCTTCAATGTGCATATTTATAATCCTTAGCCATATGGCAGTAACCACCACAGCACATCAGGGCACAGTTCTTTACTAACACTGATCAAACCAATCTAAGGTGTAAGAATAAATTGATGGTAATCAGATCACACTTTCCAGCTTCCTGAGATAACAGACCTGTGTTTTACTATATCCTACACATAACTAGCATTAGGTTTTCTTTATTTAACTTGTCATCTCTGTGTGAAATCCTTTAATCACAGAGGACAACAGGATTTTCTGTGAACTAAGAGGCTAGACAGAGAACACAGTCATCACAGAAACTAAAAAACTCAGGAGAAGACTGCACTGGTCCTCTGATCATCTTCCACATCTCCTGCTATCTTTTGATCAGGTCAGTTCATTCTCACAGAGGGAAATACATTCCTGACTTGCATTAGAGGTGACCTGCTACTGGCATATCCAAACAAACCAATTCTGTTCTCAAAAATGCTCACTGAACGTTACCTACTAAGGAAAAATGGACAATCCTCCAGCTACTGATGATAGCTTGTTTTTTCAAGTGTGGCAACTTAAAAGCAGGTTATTGATTCTGAAGTGAACAGTGATCCCACCTATTAGCTGTAGAGGTTTAGTAATTGTTTGCTACTGAAGAAAGCTCATCCATCACTAGAATTTAACTCCAGACACTTATTACTGCTGCAACAGTAGATACACCCTATCTCATTGCTGCAGCTTATTTTGAATGAAGACTGACATTACTACTAACAGATTTTTACAGAGTTTAAAATTCTCCCTCAATTTAAAGACCTCATGTTTGCACTGTCGTCTACTTACAATTCTTCAAAGTATGTCACTTGGGATCGTGCTCTCATTTGCCCTTTTTTCTCCAGTTACTAGTTATGTCATTTCACTCACACTCATTTATATTAAAAACATTGTAACTATTAGTATTCCTAACTTCCTTGCTAGAATTGATACCTGTGACTGGATGGAATGCTAAAGGCTCAAATACATATTTCATTTCAGCTAAAAACATAGAAAAGCTGTCATTCAAAAGGTAAACAAAGAAACATGAAATGTCATCCCAATTCCTCCATTTCCACAGGGTTTATAAAGCCTGCACAGCAACAGAGAAATATTGGGAAATCATCGTGTAACACCAGACTGAAGACAAGATGGGTACATTTTAAGTATCTTTCCCCTATGTTGACAGAAAGCTCCAGAGCAGGTACATGAATGCAATTATCCACACTGGAGCAGTTTGTTCCTGAAAGGCTATAACCTACAGAGACCTATGTTCCTGAAAGACTGTATCCCATGGGAAGAACCCACACAGAAGCAGGGGAACTGCGTGGGGACGAAATAGCAGCAGAGAACAGCTGTTACAGACTGACCACAACTCCCATCCTACCCACACATTTCTTTGAAAGTCTGATTTTAAAAGCAACACTCCTGGCTCTGCCACTGCACCATTTTTTGCAAGGATATGTTTTTCTTTAAATAATGAGAATGCTTAGAAGCTCTGTTTAGTAACACTTTGGAAACGTGCTTGGGATAGAAATACAGAAAAACCAAACACATCACAAAACTTTGTTTTGATTAGATTAATAGATTTTAAAATAAATGTACGAGGAAAAGGCTTCACCAAGAATACATTAGAGAAATTAAACTAAGCAAGTAAGATTAGAGTATTACATAATGTACTTTGTAAGTGTATTACCAGAATGCATTCAGGTCAAGAAGGTCCAAGCTAGCCTTAGCTTGCGTTTTAAGAACTGGCCATACTATAACTTGACTTGCTCGTTTCTTTCCCAAGGCTTCCAGAAAATTTTTAAAATCTGAGAATCAAAATAGCATTCTGCCATCTAGAACATAAGTTTGCAGGTGTTTGTGTACCCTCAGTTCTAAGGGCTCTCAGAGGAAACTCCAGCTCCTAAGAGAAGGTTAGCAATGCTAGAAATCCTCTCTCATCATAAATATTAGCATGGTATTACACAGGAAACCCTTGCTGCTTGGTGCATTTGTATCTGCAATCCTTAAACACAGAGCTAAATAAAACAGCAGTCAGAACAAGTGGATCTATTAAGACACTAATCCACCTTGACTGAGCTGAAAGACAAATGCACAGAGCAGTAGAAACTGCTGAGAAACAGGACACCAGAAGCACACTTACCTAAATTTAAGAAATCTGAGCTGGAAGAAGGCGGAAGTGAACCGTGTGTGGAAGGAACTGTAGTTGCTGTAGATGCTGAACTTGGATTAAGAAAGTCCCCAAAGAGGTCTGTACCAGACAGAGTTTGAGTCTCTGAACCTGATGACATTGTGAATGGGTCGAAAGGATCAGCTAAAAAAAGAAGCAGAAAACAATTATGACAAATTTTAGAATAGACAAAAGTTGGAAAAGGCTTACTGCTCTAGGGGTACAAACACAAAGCAGAGTTCATGTTGGCAACTGCAGCAGCCTTCTAAGAAATTTTTGTGGCAAAGTGTCACCATCTGTCCCTTTTTCTAGACACCAGTATTTTCATGTTGGTATAAGAAGTATTTCAGCCATACACAATAGGAACAGCTATGTCTTCAAACACAAATCCTTATCAAGGCTGTACACATTCAGTAACATTTTAATTTCATCCACACAAGACACACCTTAAATTTGAATGATTATCTGCATATTACATTTAAATGCTCTGTAATGCCAAACCTTCAAAGAATTTACACAAAACAGACTATTAAACTACTAAAAAGAACATCAAATAAAATATTCATACTACCACTTTGACTTGAAGGCATTGCTGACTCTGGGGCAGAAAGCACGTCAACTCAAGAATGAAAACCAACAGAAGCAAGGCTTTCAACAGGTCTCTAGTGATCACAACGAAGAAAAAGCTAATTGGAAGAGTATTTATAGTCAGCATGTGGTAACATGTGACAGCTGGAATCATGGCTTGAGATCTTCCCTTTTCTGCTGCCCTCTAGGGTCAAAATCCTGAAGAGCCCAGGGACTTCTGCCAGATTCACTCAGAAGCTGAAGAGAAGGAAAGATCTCGCCATAGTGCCCTAGCACATTCTGAGGTGATGGCCAAATATTCTCACTTCTGCAATTGTCTTTCTTGTACCCATTTCAAAGGTAGAATGAGATACATACTTGACTACTGCCCAGATGTTGTAAGGCAGACATCGTTAAAGAAATATAAAATCAGAAAGCTTCTCTTCCATAGGCACTTGCCTATGTAAAAAAGGTAAATTAAGTGATTCCTCATTGACCACAGTAACGAAGCTCAATACTGAATTGCTTCAGCAGAAATAAATATTTGAAATCAACTAGATGCTCTACAAAAACACTTTGCAGCTATATGTAGAATAAAGCTTTTAGACCAAGTGAATTATGTTTGTGCAAATAAAATAAACCTTATAAGAGTTTCTCAGATTATTTGACTAATATTCCCAAAAATCTTACTGTTAACTTCAGGCAGAGAAGTTTAGTCTTGTGACAGAGTTCTAACTATCCACTGGTAAGAGGAATAGAACCTCTAAACTAAAACACCTTTTTTAAATACCAAATAGATAGTAGGGTTTAACACGCTCTTTCAGGATACAGACCTGCCAACAACATCAGTAAAAACACCAAGAAAACACCTTTTAGCAGCACTATTATCCTACTGGTTTGAACAGTAATCTACAGGATTTCCAGTTGCCTAGCAGTCTTACGTGATTAACACTGAAAAAATCCCACACAAGCATTTGACCGAAGCAGCGCAGCTCTGTACTATGTCTAATGCTATTGCTTCACGTAAGGTGCAAGAAAGCAGGAAGTTATTACAATTCTATGCCTTAGCAAGAGCAATTATTTACAGTTTGATTTAGAAGATGATCCAGCAAGTAATGTATATGGGGAAGGTATGAATTCCTTAAGAATACTGAATCTCCTTTATACTCAAAATTTGGTACTTTTCTGTTTACACTGTTTAAAGCTAGTAGGATACCAGAAACATAACAAAATACCTGGATAAGGTACAGTAATTTCCTTCATGCAGTAAAAACACCCATTCTATGCAATTCTTGCTATAGACCAACATGTCTTTAGTGTACAGATCAAAACATGGTGCTCATTTGCTAATCACAATGCAAGCAGCAGTTTTTATTTGTTAGCCAGCCAAAGAGTACCAATGTTAAATTTACTTACCTGAGGACAAGGCTGCTGCTGAAGACATACCCTGAGTAGCAGCTGGACACTGACCACTGAAAAAGAAATCTGTTCCTTGTCCAAGAAGATCTCCAGTGGGCTCTTCCGAAATCTGTGATGCATTACCCACAAACAGATTGTTCAATAAGTCCGCGTTACTTGATGAAGAGTTTATTTCTGAGACAGGTGGTTGTTGTTCTGGTGAAACATCAGAGTCTAATCCCAGTAAATCTACATTCTCTTCAGGAAGAGATTTTTGTAACAGTGTAGATGGAGCTTCAAAAAGCAACTCTCCTTCTGGAGTAATAGAGTCTTTTTCATCAACAGTTACTGCACTTTCTTCACCTGGAAATGTAGGGAATTCCTCATCTGAAGGCTCACTCTCCTCCCTGTCATCAGATAGTTGAACACGATCATTTTTAGATGATTTGTCCTCTATTCCACTCTCCAGATTTTTTCCTTCTTGAATAAAAAGAAATAACAGCTTTAGATTACAAGGATTCTTCTGTCAACTAGGACAAGACAGACTTACATGGTGAGATCATATGAAATCAATCCTTAATTAATCAAAGCTCACAAAAGAATTGATAAAAAAAGGACTAGCTGTTGTCCACCACCTCTTTGTATAAAGCCAGCAGAAGAGGCAGCTCACTACCATACTTGCCACTCTGCAAGGGCAGATACTACGAATTTTTTCAAAGTAAGACGGTCCTGGACATTCAGCTCAGGACATTGTACCACTTATCACTCAGTAACTGCTGCTCCACTGAGTTACCAACATTTTTGCCGACAAAGCAGAACCCAGAAAAAGAACTTACATGTGCACTATAAAGTTACATTTTCTCAGTCCATACATACTGGTCTGGACCCAACTGGCTACTTTGTTTCCTCTGTTCCTCAGCCAACTTAAATAGGTCTGTGGGAATGCAAACGCTTCCTTGCAGACCTTTAAGGTTAAGATTTTTGCAGAAACAGAAAAATTTAGCTCCGCATTTAAGTTACACACAATATCAAAAGAACAATACTTGGCGTTTATCTAAATGAAGCAGAATGGCCACTTGTTAAGCCGAGCTCACTCTTAAAATACCTTTCTCTTCATATTCTTGTGAACTAGTGAGTGTTGCTGCATAAGAAGCCATAAGCATTCATCAGAAAGTGTACAAGACAAACATACAACAAGTAATTACTTTGGAGGAAAACCTGTACCTTTCCAGTCCAGAGAATGAAAGAAGTTATTCGCATCAGTACTACTGCTGTGTGGGGACTCTGTATCAGTCGGTGCACTTTCTGAAGACTGCTCCAGCTGGGATGCCTCTGCTTCATACTGTGCAGTTGAACCTGGTTGTCGAGGCAGCTCTGGTTTCCCTATAAAATAGATTTTAAGCCAGAACCCTTACAAGAGAAACTTCTAAAACTCAATTCCAGTCATAGCAGCTGCTATTTGACTTGCAGACTGAGTGCTACAGCAAGACAACTGTCTCAAAGTATCTATTACCCTGCAAAGGCAAATTCCCACCCCTCTTTGAAATTAGCATTATTAAATTTGCCTCAACTGAAAAAGCTGGTATTTTCAACTATAACACTAAATTAAATCAGACTCATAGCAAAACACTCAAGCATTCTATTTATACTTGTACAAAAATGTAATTTACACCTCACTTGTACCAACAAACCCCCCCAAAAAAATGTACAAGACCTATGAACAATATCTGCAAAAAGCAACAGGAGAAAAAAGCAAACACAGCTATAGAAAAAAAAACAGAGCATAAAGCCAGAGAAGAACATGGAGTTGTTAACTCAAAGGACTTAAGTTATACACTGTGTGCTGCAACTAACTACTTATATTTCTTACTTTACTGCGATCAGACATCAAGTGACTTTTGTTGTAAGACTGACTTGGGCTGAGTTAACCTACTGCTTACTGAGTTACCTGCTTTATCAACTCTCAAAAAGGAGGTTTCTTTAAGGCAAATAAGAAGAATCCCTAAATTAGTAAGTGTTCATCCACTGTTTGAAAAGAATGGGATGAATGCTTGGGATAAAGACATTTGTCTGAATCTAAATACCAAACTGGTAGAGCACTTTTTCACCCTCCTTCCACAAAATCGGTTGCAGCTTACAGAGATGCTGAAATAATCTGTCTCAGAACATATACATGAAAGATCATGATTAATGAAATAGTGCAAATTTTTCATTTTAATAAGACAAGTTTTATAAAATCAGTTCATAGCACTCACTTTTGTTCTGTTTCCTAACCACCAGTTTTAAGAAATATTTTCAATGAAATTTGAAACCCTTACATTTCAATTATTTACCAGAAAATGAAAGTGACTTAAAATAAAAGAGTAATTTTTACAAATCCTCACTATGAATGAAACACCTTAACTTCAGTGAGCTGTGTTCACAGTAGCATTTTGAAAATCTATATAAACTAAGGAGAAAATTACCTAAATCATAATACAAACCAAGAAAAAGAAGATAAAACAGCAGCAACTACCTTGTATCAAAATAAATGTAATTTAAAGTGTACTATGTTAAGTGCACAGAGTAAGATCTCATGTACGGTGTACTAAAATCACAACAATAATCTCTATCATGCTTTTTATTCTGGAAGCACAGACAAGGCTTAAGAGCCTTAATGAAAATGTCAAAGTTAATTAGTGATACCAGGAGAAGAAGAAAGATACTGAACAGCATTAACTGGAATTAATGCAGTCATCTACAGACGAAACACAGAATATGTAGTATTAAAAAAATTAAACATCTGCTGGACTACATTATGAAAAGTTGCAAAATTGAATCACATTATGTGGCTATACATGAGAAGGACCTTGATAAAAACATTTTTAGGTAAGATCATTTATGAAAAATGCTCAGAGGATTTTAAGGGACATTATAATGGTGCCAGTTTAGCTAAATATATCTCTTTCAAGACATTTTGCCTACAAATCCTGGCTATCACAATATCATTTGCTAAAATGCTTGCAAATAGCATATTCATAGCTTTAAAGTAAGTAAATGTAATGACAGTGGAGGTAAAATAGGGATAATTCTAATCCATTTCTGAAGGCTAATTTATACTCCTTCATACAACGTACATTTTTAAGCGATATTTACAAAAAAACCCCACCTTTTAAATGTCTTTCACTTAAAGTATGTCAGAAATTAAAAAAAAAGCTTCAAACACCAAGTACATTAGACATTTTATCATGTTCTCTAGTTGTTAAAGTAAAATTACCAAATTTTGATAAAATCTCTTGTTGTTCTTCTCGGGTGGAGAAAAGGATCTTGGGATTCAGTCCCTTTATGTTCATGTTATCCCACGGTGGCTGTTCACAGCTAGGTCTGTCTCTTGGCTCCACCTCTACTTCCAGATTGACTTGAAATAAATCAGGATATTTTTCTTGTATGTCACAGGCATCCAGATCATACCTGCAAAGATGCATACAAGTGGATTTTTGATACTGATGGCTAACTAGATTAAATTCAGTACAGTCCAAGACAAAACTTTAAAGCAGCTAGTATAAGGCTTAAAACATGCTGTATTTGTTTACTTTTTCCATGTATTTTAAACACATGGTATTTTGGTACAGAATTTTTTTTGATATTATGAACAAAACATTGTTTCCTTGAGATGAGAAAAACAGAAGAATCTTATTGCAATCAAAGTCATCTACTTCCTACACAGACTATATTTCCTCTCCTTCACCACCCCACCCC